TGGAAGTGTAGCTGGCATTCACATCATAAGCCATATAGTTTCTTAATAATAATAAATATTAAAGAAAACAAAGTGGTAGGGAAATACGTGAAGCTCTGTGTGTGCCTGCACAATTTTTTCATATATTAAGAGCATTGATGAACATTGATTTTAGAGTGCTTTCATATTTTTTTCTTATTTTTAAAATTAGGGATGAGCTCAAAGTATTTCTAAATAAGAATAAATGGTGTGCTGTAGAACGCAGTTTATAAGCTAAGATGTTGAATTGGATCATGGATTCAGATTTACATTCTCTCTCTGCAGCTACCTATTAGGATTATGATGGGGATAAAAAAAACTGCATGAGATCCTACTTTGAGTCATCAGATAAAATGTGGGATACAAATAAAAATTACCATGTGATTAGTATTATTTGCAAAGGACCGGTAGTTTTATCATTTGTAGTCCAAACAGACTCGGATCAACATGGATGGAAAATGGCAGAATCGTTTGAATCATAGGGAAATTGTCTGATTCAGTAACATATCAGCTTCATTGTGCCTTCTCATGTGAAGTACATGTCCTCCAATAAGTGCAACAATCTTCATATTTCTTAAGAGAATTGATGACTGTAAATTTCTTCCAGTTGCAGATCAAAGCTTTTTTAAAAAATATAACTATTGCTTGATATCTGATGATAAACTAATGGGAAACCAGGAATTTAGGATTTCTAACAACTTAATTGTGGAAGTATAGGTTCCTTTTATGAATCAGTTTTTAACAAAACCCACTGGGCTCATTTCAGGGGAAGGGTCAGGGAAGCTAGCAACACAATGTGTGCAATAGTAAAAATGGTGTCCTTGCGGGTTTTACTCCTCTAGTCATGATTGACATTAGGGGGCAGTGCTCATCTCCGTTTCTTAAGCCAAAGAGCCAGCATTGTCTGGAGATGTTTCCATGGTCATGTGGCCAGATGACATCACACAGCAACACAGAGCTTTTGGTGAAGCATGGAACACTGTTACCTTCCTGCATACTTATATGTGGTACCTATTCATCTACTTGAATTTACAGTTACATGCTTTTGAACTGTTAGATTGGCAGGAGCTGTGACAAGTGACGACAGAAGTCCAGTTGCATCATAAAATTGCTTCCACCATTTTGGGAAAAGCCTCTAGGTCTTCAGTTGCCTCTAAATGGAATTTTTCAGACATAATGACTGGCTAAAAGAAATACTACCCAAACTGATGTGCAGCAATGACTGTCATTGTATGTTGTCTGCCAACATTAGAATTAGTTTATTTTCAGCCAAGACTAAGGAAGAAAATTTCAGCAATGGGGCTCAAATTTGAGGAAGTCATTCCGCTTGCAGCGTATCTTTTCTTAGGCCCTTTTCTCTCATAATTAAGATGCCAAAGTATAGAGTTAATACGGTTGAATCTATGTGTGTGTTTCATAAAATAATAATAGGAGGATTTTGAAGAACCAGTAGCACGGTGAAGATTCCTAGCTATCTTAAAGGTGAGAGAGAGAAATGTCACTGAACTTGCCAAGTTTTATGTGATTGAGATGCTTACATTCCCGGAAGGGTGCTCGTGACCTACTATCTCTTTAGTTGCCCTGTACTGCTTCAGCTCACAATAGTTGAAGCACAAACCTTTCTTTTATCTGGGTCTTCCTGATCTAAATGACAAATAGAGATTGAAGAGAAGGGTCAGAAATAAAACTTTAGAGTTAGATTGTGAAAGATTTAACTTTACAAGAAAAAGCTGCAACTGATAATGCTTCAAAGAGAACAGGAAACACCTAAGTAAAGGACATGTGTAAATCTTGGGGAAAGTTGAAGTGCCCCTGTCCTTCGCCTTTCAAACAAAAACTCAGGATTATTTGCAGTATTTTCCAATAAAATAATTCCCAGGTTAATAGTTTTAAAGGCAGCCAAGAAAGATGTATAAACTATCTACTGTATATCACAAAGGGGTTTTATTTTTAGGCTACAATCGCACAATCTTGTACAATGGCCTCACCCTCACCCTTAATTGGCTCAACATAGAAGATTTCAGGAATCGCACAAAATATCTCACATTGATTAAGTTCATTTATTAAAACACTTGGCTGCATGGATGCTTTGTTACAGACATGCGATTCGGATATCGACAATCGCTTGAGTGTTATTCATTGCCTCAATTGTAGCAAATGGTTGGCGAATAAGCCAGTGTAACTTTTATATTTCTGTGATTGGCTGTGTCAGGAGTCTATTGATGATTGACCCACACTTATAAAGTGTGACAGGAAGCCGAAGCTGAAGCCTAAGCTGAAGGTGCCATGCTGTTAAAAGTTCTCGGGCAATTGCTAAAATGATAGAACTACAGTTATAAAACTGTAATTGGTTTGAAACAAAAGAGGAAATGAACCAGATGTACAGATGTCGTGGTTGATACAAGGTATAAAAAGAACTTTATTCTTCTGTGACAACTCAGAATCTTCGATAAACCGTTCAGTGCCAATTTAGCATCTATAAATGTCATACACCTATGTTACTTGAAGTCTTTTGGCAACTTCCATTATAAGCTTAAGGTGTATGTTGTCTAATAAGGGCAAAGAAAAATATGAAGTTTGATTTTATAAGATTACATTTCTAATACCTTAATTCCCAGCGTCAGCCTTATCAGGCAGATCAAACAGGAAACACAACTCGTTGAACTAATTTAGCCTTACAATAAAGTAGAATTATTGTAAATAATTTATTATTGTGAATTTCTCCCAAATGAACTCTCAGATAATTTCAAATACTTTGCAGGGTTGACATATTAACAGTTTGCCTTTCTCACAGCAGCTGAGAAAATAAAGATAGGCAAAACAAAAAAAATACCACGGCCAATCCAGCATTTCCTCCTATGGTCCATCATCTGTCCCATAGATTATTGAGAAAGTAATGGGGTTCTCAACAAAACAAAAGCCTAAATTGAAGGATAATGAGAATTAATCCAACATACTTTGATGGCTATAAATTAGAAAGCTCTCTGCAGAAAGAAAGCTGTCTCTATTTTTCTCTTGAGACTTTACTCCTAAAGACAACAAATACCCAAATACAGAACCTGATGTATAAAAGTGCACGCTAATAGATGTGATTTTTTTTTTAAAGGAATAAGCAATGTTGGAAGGAAAATTAGATCAATTCCAAACTGGGTTGGAAGAATGCAGACAGCTGGTGTGAAGTAAAGTTTATTAGGTGGCCCATCCCTAAACCTTTTCCAAGTTCTCTTTATGTAGGAATCCCAGCTCACCCTCTATTCTAAGAAGAATTCTAAGAAAATATATTTACAGTAGCCAATTACTCACATGGTTCAGATACTCTGCAGGCCTGCGGGATAGCATTTGATAGTAAGGTGAACTTTTAGGAAATGGAAAGCCTTTTTTTTTTATCAAAGAGATCTCTGGGTCAAAGGGATCTTGGTTTGGGATTTTAGATAAAGAGGAATGTTGCACCATATTACATTAGATGATTCTTGTTGCACTTTGATAATTGTCTAGACCCTATTCTAATTGGTGATTCTGAATTACAGAAGGAAGAATGTGTGAAGGAAGGGGGGACTTAATTTCCTTCCCACAGGCAGTATAAATGGAAGGCTTTTTCCGATAAATAATTATATTTGGTGTGAAGAACTGGGGCACTTTTCTGTCCAAAACGAGTTCATTTCTAGATCACCAGGTGGGGCCAGAGCTAAAGTTACTGCCTAGGTGTACTTTCAAATCCAATGCATTTATTTATTTATTTTCCGGACATGGATCACTACTTAATATTCACCAATCCCATCATAAGGACCACGGTCTTTGCATAAAGACACAGAACATGCAACTGGCCTTTTCCCATGTATTTCCATGAAATTACAGAAGGCAGATAGTCAGTTTAGATGATGATGGCATTTTCCCAAAAAAATCTCACCTGCACATTCTTTATAGTCTTAATGCAAGCAAGGTCCTTTTTTCATTTTCCCAAGCAATTTTGGAATTGCGTTTAGTACATTTAGATAAAGGGTGGAAGCTTTCTGTGGTTGGAAACCATACTTTTAAAATTTATAACCATCAAGAATGTGGCAAAAACAATTGTCCCATAAGAAGTGACAGCTGGAGTGTTTGGCTTATATTCTCTATTCTGTAACTTTACGAGGAGATTTTTAATAAGCTATAAACCTAAATTTAGCATACCTGCCTTACTTGATTGACTTGATTTTCACTCTTACCATAAATTAATGGAAAATTGCCACACTATTATTGAGTGACTTGCCACTGAATTTTGGCACTACATTCTTGGAAATTCTGGATCCATGAGCGATAAATTATCTATTCCTTTAGATCAGGGGGGTCAAACTCGCGTCGTCACATGATGTATCTGGACTTTTTTCCCCTTCGCTAAACTGAGTGGGGGCGGGGCCAGCATGTGCCACATCCGGCCCGCGAGTTTGACACCCCTGCTTTTGATCTTTGCCCTGCTTTATTCCAGGATAGAGGGAAGGACTTCAAAAAAAAATTCTAGAAATCATTTTCAATAAAACTTGTGTTCTTTAGTATGTTTATTATGTGTGTTATCATATTTTAGAAACTGCTTCAATGTTTTTTTTTAATTAAGCATTTAAAAATGCAATATAAATTATGGTAAACCTCTTTATATTAAAATAAAAAAGCAGCAGGGAAGGTTAACAAATCTACCAGAATAGCAATGCAGCTTTCCCAGTCTTGCTGCATTAACAAATGTTGGCACTCCATACTTAGCAATTTGCACATTCACCTGTGACATATCCACAGTTTGGGACATTCATAGGCATTGGAAGACAGTGGATATTTTTTGTTCTTTGACCATTTATAGTAATATATGAACCACTTACTTTAGATTATTAATTCTTTGTAATGAAAAGAAACACTTCAATATTATAGTTATTTAAATTTAAAAGCTGCTGTGTAGCTGAGAGACAGGATGCTGGGTGTGCAAATAGAAAATACAAAATGGTATTCTTTTTCAGATTTTGATGCTTTGCCAGAAATGGATATTTTGGGAAGAGGCTGAAGCTTTACCCTCAATACTTGGATGAGGGGAAGTAAAGTTTACCAGAATTGAAAAATGAGTCAGTCCTCGACTTATGACTGGATGCTTAGTGACCATTTGAAGTTACAACATATCCTGAAAAAGGGAAGGTACGACCTGGATTCAAAGGTCCAATATCCACTGTGCCCACCCTGCCCAGGAACTTGAACATATTTGGGGCACTTGGCAACTGGTCTGCATTTACCTTCATTTGCAATATCCCGTGGCCACATGACTGTGATTTATGACAGTTTCCAGCAAAATAAAATGTAGTAAACAAGGGCTTCTCTTAATAACCACGGTGTTCCCTGCTTCCGTGGTATGGAGACAATAATTTAGTCCTTAACACCAATAAGACCAAGGAGCTTATAGAGGACTACAGAAGGAATAAATCAGACATCCAACCCTTGCTTATCAATGGAGACCAAGAGAAGCAAGTGGCCACTTTTAAGTTTCTGGGTGTTATCATAAAAGAGGACCTGACCTGGGGCATTCACATTGCAGCACTGGTCAAAAGGGCCCAGCAGAGATTATACTGAGACTTCTCAGAAAACAACAACTGAATGAAAAACTGCTGGTGACCTTCTACTGCTGCACCATAGAGAGTATTTTAACTTAATGCACCTGTGTATGGTTTGCCAAAACTCCAGAGGGTTAACATCATCATTGCCCAGAGGTTCATTGCTTGCCCTCTCTCCTCTTTGGAAGAGCTTTGTAGCTCCTGCTGCCTTAAGAAAGTTCAAAACATTATTAAAGATCCATCCCATCCTGGGCACCCTTTTTTTGAACTATTACCATCTGGCAGACGGTACAGGATAATAAAAACAAGGACAAATAGATTGAAAAACAGCTTCTATCCCAGTAACCATATTGACTTTTACTATATACTGTAATATTAATGCAATATCAGGGGTTTTCAATTCAATTGTATAGAATGTGAAGGATATGTGTTTGTGTTTATTTTTATAGTTATTATGTACACTGAAGATGGCAATTAATTTCGTTGTATGAGGTGCAGTGACAATAAAGTAAACTAAACTAAACATTCACTTAAAAGACTGCTGCAAAAAAGCTCATAAAATCAGGCATGATCATGTGGTGATCCATTTTATGGCTGTCGCGATATACAACCGAAATTGCGGGCTCTATTATGGTCGTAAGTCAAGAACTACCTGTAAGACTACAGTATTTGGAATGGATCAGGAAAATGAAGCCAGAGGGGCCCGGAGAAATGGTGATGTGAAACAAGTGAAAAGAGAAAAGTCAACATGAGAGGGAAGAGATACTTCATCCTGCATCCTCAAATGTCATACAACTGGCTGGGGTATTAAATTCTTTTTAAATTAAATATAAATTCTGACAATTACACTATTTATAAGCGTGATGTTCTATTTTATGATACCATTCCTTCAATAGTATTATATTCCGATATAGCCAACAGTTTCTTTGATGTCTGTATCATTAACATTCCTTTCCCTTTGGGGGGGCTCATGTCAGAACTGGCTCAATATTATCACATTAGCTGTCAGTGTTGAAAAATGAAGCCAAAGAAAAAGAGAGTGAAAAGGAGAAAGGCCATTTCTTCTTTACTACCTGTACATTTATTTGTAGTAGCAACAGTCTTTTAGAAAGACAGGCGCTTTTAGTGCTTTAAAATAACATCTCAAATTGGCAGCTGGCAGATCTTTTCATATGGACATTGTCATCTGTGAACCGGTTAGCAACTAATTGCTGAGCCTTCAGACAAGGGGAGTGCCTAAATATGGATTAAGTTTCCAACTTGAAATTCTAAAAACCTTCCATGTAAGTACGGGACAAGTAGTCCTAGATTTATAACCATTTGTTTAATGATTGTTCGAAGTTACAAGGGCACTGAAAAAAGAGACTTATGACCGTTTTTCACACTTATGACCACTGCAGCATCCCCATGGTCTTGTGTTCAAAATTCAGATGCTTGGCAACTGATTCATAGTTATGATGGTTCCAGGGTCATGTAATCATCTTTTCTGATCTTCTGACAAGCACATTCAGTGGAGAAGCCGGATTCCACTTTACAACCATGTTACTAACTTAACAACTGCAGTGATCCACGTAACAACACTGGCAAGAAAGTCATAAAATGGGGCAAAACTCACCTACCAAACGTCTCGCTTAGCAACAGAAATGTTGAGCCTGGTTAGGATCGTAAGTAGAGGACTACCTGCACCAAGGAGCCTAAGTGGTGCAGCGGACTAAAGTGCTGTTAAGTAGCACTTAGCTGCCAACTGCCTGCAATTACTGCAAGTTCAAATCTCACCAGACTCAAGGTTGACTCAGCCTTCCATCCTTCCGAGGTAGGTAAAATGAGGACCCGGATTGTGGGGGCAATAAGCTGACTTTGTATAAAAAAGAACACCGCTTAGGGGAGGCCGAAAGCCCTACTAAGCAGGTATATACAAAAAAGTATGAAGGCTATTGCTTAACGCATTGTAAGCCGAGTCTCTGGAGAAGGGCGGCATATAAATCGAACCAATAAATAAATAAATATTTTTTTCCCCAACTGTCAGCATATGTTTGCCTATCAACCCAATTGCCTGTCCTTTGCCTCTGGGCAGGAAGTGAAGTTAGGTTGCTGGATTATCAAAGGAAGAGAGAAGGTGAGTTATCAGTGATTTCCCAGCTGTTCAGGACAGAGTGTCTATAGTTGGTGCCAATTCTGGAGGCAACTCCTTGGGGCCATTGTCAATCTCTCCAGGGCCGCAAAAATCCAGATAACCACTAGATGACAGCAAAGAGACACAGTAGGTTCTTATCTACCACCTAGTTATCATCTAGCTTTTGCAGCCCAGAGCCAGAAACCTCTTAAAACGAAACCAAACAAGGAGCCAGGCCAGCTTTCAAGTGGCCTCTGGTTCCGATCACTAATCTCTCAAAATAACTTCAGAATGTGGTTTGACTCCCGGGCGGGAACACACCGGCCTTTCTGTATCAACTGGTTTGCATACAGTAGTGATTTAGCAGTAAGTTTATCTGCTGGAGGACCTGGCTTTGGGTACTATTCACGCAGCAGCCTGAGTCATTTAGAATCTACCCTTTTAGTCATGTCAAAGTTCAGCTAGCTGTGTTTGAGAAAATGAAAATGCAAACACAGTTCAGTTTCAGGCAGCTGAGAAAAGGAACTAACCCAACTGGAAACAGCCCTGAATGTCACTGGAATGACAATGCGATTCCTAAGTAACAACTTAGAGAGGACCTCTTCTTCACCTCTTAAGCCTTCCCTCCCCACCACTACTTGGGGGGTCCAGACAAGAACTCTAGCAGTCTACACTAAATTTGCTCTCACGCCAACTTCAATGCTGTTCCTTTCTTTGCTGAAATTGCTTGCTTCTGTTTTTTTCTCTAGTCACATTACAAAAAGGAAAGCTGTTAAAATAACATTTAAAAAACAGAGGGTAATAGATAAAAATGATAGCGTAACATGGATTTCTATTCTACCTTTTTTTTTTTTAATTAAAAACTGTTCTCGGTCCAGGCTATTTCCATCCCTCATCTGGTCAGATTGAAATGATTCAACGGAAATAAGGGATTTGGCCAACTCTCTGGTCTCTTGCTCTGCGCTTCTTAGGAATTCTACACGGTGTTTGCTGTGCTCTATAGTGAGGGTTTCCCATTCATTCTGGTTGTTTTGCAATATGTTCTTTGACACTTGGATGACCAGAGTTTACCCATTCTGGTTATAGAACCATCCTTACATAACTATTCAGATAAGAATGTACCAAATTGCCACTCAGTACAGTAAATTCTTCCACAGTGCAAGGAAGTGTTCCAAAGGCCAGGAAATGACATTATGTTAAACTCTACCAGAATTTTTTTCTTTTTGCCTTTTTAAATATATTTTCCCCTCTCATTGGTTGCAATACAAGCTAAGGTTTATATTACATATGTCAGTGAATGATTATGAAATTAGCTAATAAGGGTATATATAAACCCGCCAGTATATCTCACAGATAGATACCGTAAACATTGGGCTCCAGTTCCAGGACAACAGTACTGTGTTGAGAAGCACCAGAGATGGGGTGAGGGTTGGATTGAACCTCCTCCTCTGACCTTGGACCTCTTTTCCTACCCTGAGAAGCCTAGCTGAGTACTACAGATGTTCAGCTTATTGTTCAGCTACTTTTCAGAAAATGGAGAGAGCGAGGGGACCCTTTCAACACCCTCCACAGTTTTGATTGTTAACCACAGTGGAGCTTATCAAGAGACAAGCCCTTTCCCCAGCTCCTTTGACCAGCATGCTCTGATTATTTCTGTTGAGCTCTGCTGTTTAAACAAAGAAGACAAAAGCCACCCAGACAGCATATTTCCTTCCAGGCAGGAAGTGTTAGGTGTAAAGAAGAAGAAAAATAAACCAAGAGGCTCTGTCTTCAAGCAGTGGGAATCTTATCAATAAAACAAAGAGCTGCAGGTACTTAATGATTGTATTCTGAGTATCAGAAGAGTTTAATGTTCTGAGTGGTCGCTTTTCCTTGGAATATATTATTTTGCATGCAACTCTATGAACCTAAACTTTGCAATATTTAAACCGTATGGTCATTTACCGAGGGAAGCAGTCTTCCAATTAACTGGGCCGTACATGAAATATTGTCAAGCCCTGGGAAGGACACACACTTAGAAACTAAAACCACTTGGATCTTTTGGGGGGGGGGGGAGTTTACTGCTGGTAGGCTAATGAAACTGAATCTTGAAAGCCTGTCAAAGCAATTCTCTGGATCAATTGTATAATTTAGGTAGAGTTACTCTTGAGTCTTTTTCCCCCTTTCCCCAGACTAAGGAAACTTTCCTGCAGGTATTTTTGGTAAAAATGGGAATCATTTTATTTGACATTAAAATGCCAAACAACAAACCAGAAAAGACCTTAGAGACATGGAAAAGAACATATTTGGAAGTCTTGCAGGAGGAACCTAACCTCCAGGTTTCTTTGTGGTTAGCTTGGCTGTGAAAATGACTACTGTCTGGTGGATAGACGCCTCAAAACTTGCTGGCTGGGGAATTCTGGGAGTTGAAGTCCACAAGTCTTAAAGTGTCACGTTTGGAGACCCCTTGTTCTAGACCACTGGATTTACTATGTCCTGCTAAGAGCCACAACATATAAAAAGAAAATGTAGATCTACATAGATCCCGCTCCCCAGGGTCCCCTCATTATGCAATCCAAAAAGATTCTGCGGTGGCCGGTGAACCTCTGACCTCTAAGCCTGCCCCTGTTATAGCATTAGGAAAACAAGCTGCAGCAAGATTTAGCATGTGTCCTCCACTCTGCCCCACGGTCTCTTCTGGGGAGGTCAGCTATTGCTTGCTCTAATACTTATTCCCAGCCCAATAAAGATTCGGGTGACTATTATGTAAATAAGCAACTGCAAGCTTTTCTCTTGTCAGTGAACACACCCACTACCACTTCAGATCCCTGAATAACTGTTGGAAAGGAAGTCAGAGGGTCTTTGGCTTTCTGTGGTTAAGGGGATATATTGGTTCTAAATAGAAGAAGTTCTGTTGCTGGGATTCTTGTAACCTCTTCCTTTTATTTCAGTCAATGTTGCTAAAGAGAATTCTGTAAGAATATTTCTGGGAAGCATATTACGGTACTTTTAAGTACAGTAGATGGCCAGAATACTGATAGCAATATTATCTGCCTGGTGTGTGTGTGTGACCTTTTTGTGTTGGAACAAACAACAAAATTACAAGCAAGAATTCTGAAGGTGACTTCAAACATGTCAGGCATATTAACCTGAAAAGAAGACCAAATTTATGAGCTTCTCATGGTTATACCAAATGAGTTATGTGTGGGAGAGCTCCAGTCTGAGATCACTAACTAATATTCAATAATAGCATTCAGGACCGTGCATTAGCAGCATTTCTAAAGTCAGCAAATGCATATAAAGCAATGGACTTCAGATGTCGAAAGATTGTTTTGTTTTGACTATCATTAAGCAATGTGTGAATTTATTCTTCTTAATCAGTACAAAAGCCTGAAGGAGAAAAATCATCTTGTGCAAGCAATCCCGTGTGG